AAGATCCCTCGGAGCAGGGGGGAATCCTGCACCCCAAAAAGACCCCTCGAATCTGAGGGGTGTCCCCACTGCCCCACAACATCCCAGGGATGCTCCCACTGCTCTCCCTGCACCCCAAAAAGATCCCGCGAAGCTGAGGGGTGTCTCCACTGCCCCCCAACATCCTGGGGGTGCTCCCACCGCTCTCCCTCCCCCAGGGAGGATGTTCTGCACCCCAAAAAGTCCCCTCCGAGCCCCAAAATCCCGGGGGTGCCCCCCCCGCTCCCCCTCTCCAGGGGGGATGTCCTGCACCCCAAAAAGATCCCTCGAAGCTGAGGGGTGTCCCCACTGCCCCCCAACACCCCGGGGATGCTCCCACCGCTCTCCCTCCCCCAGGATGGGGGAGGTCCCTTATCAGGATTGTCCCCCCCGCCCCGCACTGACCTCAGCGGCGTGTGCCGCCTCCTCTGCGGGCAGCACGGTGTGCGCCCGGTGCTCGCGGGACAGGTGGCACACCACGCACACGGCCCGCCGGTCCTGCACGCAGTAAAGCCGCAGCGGTTCCCCGTGCCGGGGGCACCGCGGAGGCCCCGGAGGCCCCGGCGGCTCGGCGGCGGCGGGCACGGGGAGGGCGGGGGCGGGCGGGCCCGGCGGCGCCTCGGCGGGTCCCGGCGGCAGGCCGAGCTGGCGGACGATGTGCACGATGTTGCCGAGGGAGCGGTTGGGTCGGAAGAGGCGCTGCGGGACCGGCTCGCGGCACTGCGGGCAGCACAGGCGGCGCGCCGAGTCCTCCCAGCACTGGGTCACGCAGGCGCGGCAGAAGTTGTGCCCGCACTCGGCCACCAGCACCGGGTCGTTGAAGTACTCCAGGCACACGGGGCACGTCAGCTCGTCCTGCAGGCTCCGCGCCGCGCTGCAGGGAGCCGGGGGAGCGGCGGGGGGAGCGGGGGGCGGCGGCGCCTCCATGGCGGCCGCGGCCCCGGCCGAGGGCCCGGCCCCGCTGGCGGTCCCGGTCGTGGCGTCGGTTGGCGGCGGAGGCGGCGGATCCCGAGCGCGACCCTTCCCCGTCCGCTCCGCGCGGCGCCGCCCGCGCGACTGGCGTGCCCCCCGGGGGGGCGTGGCCGCGCCTGCGCGCAGAGGGGCGAGTGGGCGTGGTTAAACACACCCGCGGCGGTGATTGGCAGAGGTCGCGCGTGAGAACGAGGCGGGTGGGCGGAGCTATGACCGTAGATGGGGGAAAAGGCGGGGCCGCGCCGCCCGCCCGACCGCTGGGGGGCGCTACGCGCTCGCGCATGCGCACGTGGGGTGGGGGGCGATGCCCATAGGGGTCTATGGGAGGGGGTTTTTGGGGGTCCCTGTGGGATCGAGGGGGTTTAGGGGGGTCTGTAGGGTGGTGGGAGAAGGGGGGAGTCACCCAGAGGCTGCTGAGAGAGGAGGGGGTCCCTATAGGTGGCAGGGGGAGCCCGGGTGTCTGGGTCCTTATAGAATAAATGGGGGGTGTAGGTGCCTGTGGGATGTTTTTGGGGGGTCCCTGTGGGATTGGGAGGGGTGTATTGGGGTCTGTAAGTTGGTTTGGGGGTTCCCTGTGGGATTGGGGCAGCTTGTTTGGGTCTATAGGATGTTTCGGGGGTCCCTCTGGGATTAGGGGTGGGGGTAAATTGGGGTCTATAAGGTGGTTTGGGGAGTCCCTGTGGGATTGGGGCGGTGTATGTGGGTCTAAAGGATGTTTTGGGGGGATCTCTATGGAATTGGGGGGTTTGTATTGTAGGGTTCTGGTGGTGGGGGGATCCCAATAGGGTGCAGGGGATCCCTGTGAGCAGGGGGGGATGCTCAGGGCCCTATGGGATGTTTTGGGGGTCCCTACATGATGTTGAGGGGTGCATAGTTGGGGGGTTGGGGCGTTCCTGGCCTGAAGGGGGGAGAGAGGAGGGTTTTGGGGTGGTTTTCTCAGCATTGGCCTCTCTGCCGTGTCCCCATGAGCGTCACACAGCCGCTCCAGGAACCTGGATTGAGCGAAAAACGACCCAAAACCTCCACATGTACAAGAAATGACCCCAAACCTCGCTACGCCCACTCATCGCTCCTTTCCCGAGGGGATTTAGGGATTTAAATCCCTGCTGGGACCTCCCCCCTCCTGCATGATGCGGGCAGAGAGGATTCGACGCCGACCATTTCCCTGCTTTTCTTTACGCCGTCTCCATGAAATCGGCTTTGGGGGCAGGAAAATATTTGCGGGAGACGTCGCTGCGGGGTGGGGGGAGCGCAGAAATCGGGCTGAAAAATGGTTAATTCGGGGTCGGAGGGGAGGTGCCCTCTTCCAAAATGGCGGCGCCGCCCTCAGGCGGCGCGCGAGGGAAAATGGCCGCGGCCTCCTCGGCCCCGTTGCCGCCAGCGGGGCCCGGCTCAAGATGGCGCCCGAGGGCGAAGCCCCGGCGGCCATCTTGGGTGAGGGCGTTGCCATGGCGACGGGGCCCTGTCGAGGCCTTCCAAAGGCCGCTGCGGCCCCAGGGAGGGGGAAAACGCGAATTTTGGGGGCTCCGAACTCCTCGTGGGGAGCACGAACATGTTTCAGAGGTGCTCCTTGTCCCGGTGATAGAAACCCCCCTTTTTTTGCCCCCAAAATCAGCCGCTTTCCCGCTGTGAAGGCGCAGCACTGGAGGGGGGGGTCCTGCAGCCCCTCAACCCACAGGGGCTAAACCACCCCCAGCACCCCCCCCCCCCCCCCCCAAATTCAGGCGGTTTTGCCCCAAAACGGTCCCCGATGTGTTTATCACCAATAAATTTAAGGGGCTCCGCAGCCCCCACACGCGAAGTGACTCCGGGGGGAGCTCATCTCATCCCCAAGTCCTTGGGCTCGTCCTCAAGCCGAGTTTTCGCTCGGGGCCCCCATTCGTCACTCCAAGGGAGGGTCTTGGTCCTTCAGGGGGTCTCGGCCCCTCAGGGCTCCTCCGTCACTCCAAGGGAGGGTCTCAGTCCTTCGGGGGGCCTCGGTCCTTCAGGGGGTCTTGGTCCTTCAGGGGGTCTCGACCCCTCAGGGCTCCTCCATCACTCCAAGGGGGAGTCTCGGTCCTTGAGGGGGGGTCTTGGCTCCTCAGGCTTCCTCGCCGCCATGTTCTCCCAGCGAGTCCATGGCGACGTCGGGCTCGTCCCCAACCCTCCGCCGCGTCCCGGCGAGGGCCACCCCCGTCCCCGCGGCCTTGTGCAGGTGGCTACGCCGGTGCTTGGCCAGGTGCGAGGCCTGGCTGAAGGCCTCTCCGCACTCGGGGCAGCCGAAGGGCCTCTCCCCGGTGTGGACGCGCCGGTGCCGCTCGAGGTGCGAGGCCCAGGCGAACCCTTTCCCGCAGAGGCCGCAGGCCAAGGCCTTGCGGGCGGCGTGGCCGCGCTGGTGCGCCAGGAACGGGGCGGCCTCGCCGAAGCGCTTCCCGCAGTCGCCGCACTTGTAGGGCCGGTCGGGGGAGTGGGTCTTGCGGTGCTGCAGCAGGTGGGCCTTCTGGGCGAAGCGCCCGCCGCAGGCCGCGCAGGGGAAGGGCCTCTCGCCGGTGTGGACGCGCCGGTGCCGCTCCAGGTGCGAGGCCCACACGAAGGCCTTGCCGCAGTCGCCGCAGCGGTGCGGGCGCTCGGGGGGCTGCCGGCAACGCTGGTGGTGGTGCTGGTGTTGATGCCGCGCCAAGGCCGGCCCGGCGCGGAACAACCGCCCGCAGTGGCCGCAGCGAAGCGCCCGCCGGCCCGGGTGGACGTGGCGGTGCCGCGCCAGCTCCGCGCTCTGCCGGAAGGTCTTGCCGCAGGCCGGGCAGCGGTGGGGCCGCTCGGCGCCGGCGTCGGCGGCGTCGTGGCCGCGCCGGTGCTTGGCCAGGTGCGAGGCCTGGCTGAAGCGCTCGCCGCACTCGGCGCAGCCGAAGGGCCGCTCGCCGGTGTGGACGCGCCGGTGCCGCTCGAGGTGCGAGGCCCAGGCGAAGGCCTTGCCGCAGTCGCCGCAGCGGTGGGGCCGCGATGGGGCCTCCACGCCGGCAAAACTCTGTCCGCCCCGACCTCCTCCCCGGCGCGGGCGGTCGCCGGCGTGGCCGCGCCGGTGCTGGCGCAGGTGGGAGCTCTGGCTGTAGGTCTCGCCGCACTCGGGGCAGCCGAAGGGCCTCTCGCCGGTGTGGACGCGCCGGTGCCGCTCCAGGTGGGAGGCCCACGGGAAGCTCTTCCCGCAGTCGGAGCAGCCGAAGGGACGATCCCGGCACCGCTCCCGGCACGGCCTTTCCTGGGGCTCGGGTTTGGGCACCACCACGGGGGCTCCGGGGGGGCAAAGCCCGGCCCGGGCGCTTGGATTTGCGCCGGTGGGAGCCGAGGGGCTTCTCCCGCTCCGAGAACACCCCCGGCCCCTCTCCGGCCTCCGACGATGCCGACGCCTTTTCGCTCACCAGGCCCTGAGCTGCTGGGAGAGGGAGGAAGAGGAGGAAGAGGAGGAGAAGGAGGAAAATGGGAATGAGTGGCCTTGACATGGAGCAGCAACAGGATTCCCCTTAAAACTCGTGTTTTTCCAGGGAGGAGGAGGGAGGGAGATCCCAGTTTGAGCTGGGAGTGTGGAGGGAGCTGATCCCAGTTTGAGCTGGGAATGTGGAGGGAGCTGATCCCAGTTTGAGTTGGAAATGTGGAGGGAGCTGATCCCAGTTTGAGCTGGGAATGTGGAGGGAGCTGATCCCAGTTTGAGCTGGGAATGTGGAGGGAGCTCATCACACCCTTAATCACCCCCCAGATTTCCACTTTAAATTCGGGGAGATCAAAATAACCTTTTCCCGAGGGAAAGGAATCAAGGAGAGGAGAATTGGGGAAATCTCCCTGGAAACCCGCCCGGATCCCGCCTCCCCTCTTCCCACCCCGAGGAGAGGAGAGCGGGGAAAGAGGAATTTGGGAATTTTTTACCCAAGGACAGGAGGGTCTCGTAGCTCTCGTGCATCACGTCCCTGTACAGCTCCTTCTGCCGCGGCTCCAGCAGCGCCCAGGGCTCCATGGCGGGAGAACGATCCCAAAAAATCGCCTGTCCAAGGGGGAAAATCCCCTGAAACGGAGGAATTCCCTTCCCCCCTCGGTGCTTCCTGATTTTTTGACGCTTCTCTCCAGAAATATCGGGATTTTCGCGATGTTCAGACCCTCCCTCCCTCCCTTTCTCCCTCCCTTCCAGGATTAATCCCGAGCTCGGTGGGAACAGGGAAGGGGGTTCGAGGGTCCCTGTTTGCCCCCCAGACCGCATCCCATGGGAATCTCCTTCCCACAGACCGCATCCCGCCGGAATCTCCGCCTCCCAGTCCTCCCAGTCCTCCCAGTCCCCATCCCACCGGGGCGATGTGACCCCAGGAGCTGGGCTGTGGATTCCCGAATCCTGGGGAGCCCCGGGGCTCCTCCTCCATCCTCTTTATCCATTGTCCTCTTCCCAGAGCTGCCGATTCCCAAGAAAATTCCCGAGGGTCGCCCAGGTTCCCCCCCCCTCGGGATCGGGATTTCCCTCCTCCCCGTTACCTGCTCAAGGTTCAAACCGATCCCGGAGCCGCTTCCAAGGGGGTTTTCCTTTAGGAAATCCTTCCCGGGTGGGATGCCCGGACCCCCCCTTCCCTCGGGGGGACCCCAAATCCTCCTCCCCCCTTCCAGGACACAATAGGGGGGGTTTTAGGGGGGGTTTTTAGGCCGGGTTTGAGCTCCGGAAACCCCGAGTCGGTATCCGGGAGAGAGGAGACGAGGAGGAGAAGCTGAGCTGAGCTTTCCCCCAGAGCCCTCTAGAGGTAATTTAACCTCAAACATCCCCAAAAAAACCCTCCCACGGACCCCCAGACCCCCCAAAAAACCTCCCCGAAATCGTGGGGGGCTCGGGGGACCCCGCCCCGCTCCGGCTCCATCACCCGCAGGGACCCCCCCCGGGTGGTACCCGAGGAATTTTGGGGACCCCCGGCAGGGTCGGGATGGCAGGGAAGGGGTGGGAAAAGTGTGGGAAATATGGGAAGGGGCTTTCCGGGACACCCCCCACCCCGGGATGGAGGTCCTGGGCAGCGGGTGAGCCAAAAATCCGCTTTTTTGGGGAAAAAAAGGGGGGGAAAAGGCGAATTCGGAGACGCGGGACCGCCGGTCCCAAAGGGAATCCCGAGAGTCGCCAAAATCCCGGGATTTTGGGGGATCCAGGGGGTGGAAAAAACCTCCCCCGGGATCCTTTGGGATTCCCCCAAATCCTGGGATTTTGGGGGATCCAGGAGGGTGGAAAAAAACCTCCCTGGAATCCTTTGGGATTCCCCAAATCCCGGGGTTTTGGGGGATCCAGGAGGGTGGAACCCCCCCGCCCCCGGAATTCTTTGGGATCCCCCAAATCCTGGGATTTTTCCCCCCATTTCAGGTCTCCCAGCGGCTTCAAATCCCACTTCTGACACACCTTTTTTTCCCCTCTAAAAACTCATTTTTTGGATAATTTTCCTTATTTTTTTTCCTTTCTTTCCTGCTAAAAAAAAATCTCCCCCCATCCTAAAACCCCCTCCAATATCTGGGAGGTCCCAAGGGGGTCTCCTGGACCTTCGGTTTTCCGGGTGAACCCCAAAATTCCTCGGCCTGGAATTCAGGCGGGTTTTGTCCCGTTTTCCCGGTTTTTCAGCCCAAAACCCGGGTCTCTGT